TGAAATTATATTATGCTTTAGTTATACATAATAATTTTATATGTTTAATGATCTACTACGGAAGATAGATGGGTGACTAATCACTAAACTAAGTCTAAATAATTCCAATTAATGTTTAAAATTTGATTTATTTGAAAAACAATAACAAAATGTACAGCAATCACAAATAGGTCTTCCAGGTGTCCGAAATATAATTGTTTATAAATTTATTTTGTAGTTAAATTTCGAGCAGTCTTATAATAAAAAAGTGATTTCTGTTGTATTGTATTTGTCTGTAACAAACATAAAAATTACTCAGAAAAACTCAAAAATTACTATAATATGATTCGAAAATAATTCTAAAACGACCAGTAAGTCGGCTCATTAATGACTCAAAAAATATTAAAAAATGAGTCAGAACTGATCAGATGTGGGGCTCATAAAAGACTCGTTTAGAAGAGTCGCGGGTCCCGACGAAATCATTTATGATCAGAAAATGAGCGCATATATGATCATTTTAATCATAAATGAAATGAGTCATAAATGAATCGAATGTGATCAAAAATTTCAAAAAATGCTAGCTGGGCTAAAATTAATTCTTTTATAGATCTGTATATAATTAAATTCATTGCAGATACGATACGTAACATGACACCTACAGGTACAATAACAAAAATTAAAATAGTACCAACAAACTTACATAAATTTTTACAACAAACTACTTGTAGTATACATACATATGAACATATACATATATGTAGGTATGTACATTCATATTCACGAATATAAAATAATAAAATAAAGAATATTAAAAAAAACATCGTAATACAAACGATAAATGTATAAATTTCCGTGTGTTAGTCAGTGGCAGGAATGTATAGATTTTTTACTTTAACAAGAATACATACATACATTAAACTGGAAAATGACATTAAATTGTAATTACTTTTGTTTTGTATTACGAATAGTTTTTGTTTATTGATAAAAATATAATTTAGCTTAATGAGTTTTGCTTTTTTTTATTATAGCTTGCATTGAAAATGGTTTCAAATCAATTTCAATAATAGTGCATACGAATATTAATTATTTTAACTGTAAATAGTTATCATCACCTTTCCTTTAAAATTTTCTTTTTATATGCAAACATTTGATGGGTACTTCAAATTATATTACAATAATGTAAAATTTTCAAAAACAAAAAATAAAATAAATAAATTCAGTATTTTTTAGATAATTTAAAAAGTTCAAGTGTCCCTTTGTGGAAGGTGTAATACATATGGACAAAATTTTATAAAGTAATTAGAGTTCGAATGAATTATTTCCGTAGTTTTGCTTCTTCAGAAAAAGAAAACGAAAAATAATTTCGGAATAAAACCGGAGTCGATTAAGGCGTGTCTGTCTGGCTGTCCATTTAAACCATGTGCGCAAGATACATTATTTCACATAGCCCCTATACAACCGTACCTTTCGATTTGGACTTTCAAGCTCATAACTACTCCAAATATACTAGGATATGACTTAGATCGGCTATTATATAACCCTAACTCCCATATAAAGCTTTGTTTTTCAATAATAAATTTATTAAATACATCAAAATTTAAGTAAAATTCAACATTAATTTTTTTTTATAAAAAAATAATCTTTTTTAAATATACACATATGTAACTTGCATAGGGTATTATATGGTCGCCCATGCCCGACTGTACTTTCCTACATTTTTACTGAGAGTTTTCTTCAATAAGATTTAACAATTTCAATAATTGCTTTAATTTATTTAATATTTGAATAAAACAAATATTAACACCTTGATGGTAAAACAAGATTTGACAATTATAAATTAAAAATGATATCGGACAGATGTCTCCACGACCCGCACACATGTTGATTCTCAAACAAAAATTTTTAATCACATTTCGTCAAAATTGCGTATTGTGATTTTTAATGTTGTAATCGACTGGATTTGGTTTGCAATGAATTCAAAGACTGTGTGTGACATAAGACACCGTCTTGTTCAAAAGACTTGTCGATAATATCAATAAAGAAAGGACAACATTTAGTTCTGAAAAACTCGGTAGCATGATACATTTACCGCATACGCATTACTTGAATGTCATGTTTAAATATGCGTTGGTGTTAGCACACCCTGCCGAACAAATTAACCGATAAAATTCTTATTAGCGGTTTGAAAATTAAAATTTTTTGATATCACGAATTTTACGAAATGCAAGTCTCGTAGATCCATAATTTTGGAAAAGTTATTAATATATTCTCGATTCTTATTAGATTCTAAGACGATTGACAATGTCTTTCTTTTCTAAATTGGAAGGGGTTTGTGGTATTGAAAGTGCACAATATCAGTACACTTTTCGGTTACAATTTAAACAGTCATAAATATATTTATTATGTGGTAATAGTGATAAAATTTGTCATAAATTAGTTTTGTATACACGAAAATATGTATAATGATGTTAAAAATTCCCTTATTTAAATACATAGCCCGAGGATAAGTAGTCCAAACACGCATCCGCTAAGAGGAAGTACATGTATGCACATGTGTATGTATGTGTAAATATTATCAAAACCTACTAATGGATTTAAAGTCGATTAAAAAGAAAAATGATAACTTGCAAAATTAAATGGTTAATGAACTTTTAATTAAAATCGTCTGAATATTTTTGTAAAAATTCTTAATATAAACCCAACTCGATTCATTACTAGAGGTCATAACATGTTTCTTTTTTAATGGGTTAAGTTCCTAATTAAATAAATTGGAAATAAATATATGGAAATTGGCTTGGAGGCTGATATTTTTGTATAAATATTGTATGTGTATTTTAAATACAAATTATAAAACTAAATGGTGGAGAGATACAAAACACGACACAACTGGTTAAAATAAAAACAATACTAAATTAAATTTTAACAATTCATTTATCATATTTTCATTCATAATTTATCCAATTCGAGTGAGATGGATGAATGGATGGTTGAATGAATAAATAGATGAATATAAGACATCGTTCAAAAATATTTTAATGAATGAATCTCATGGTTTCCACAACTACGATATGAAATAACCGATCATCTAAACGTTTTGTAAATAATAATCAATCGATCATTAATTCGATCGTTTTAATGAATGAAAACTAACGAAATAATCCAAATAGAACCAAAGTTCATTGTACTGCAAATGATTTTTAGCAAACAAATACATTTCAAAAAAAAAAACCCTTTAAAACACAGACTCAAATTGTTCAATCATTATTCTCAAATTTATTTTCTTATTTATTTTGAATTTCATAAAACACTCAATCGTGCTAATACAAGAACTAAAGATTATAGAAAATAAAACATTACGGAAATATTAAGCAACGACTAAGTCACAATTTATTAGTTTAGTGCTGATTTAATACATTTTTATACTTATGTATATATGTCGCTCTTTTTTTGTGCGACCGATCGATCGAGTATTCAAGCAAAGATGCACTTCAGTCTTTCGAACGCGTTTTAGATTTAATGAATTAAAGTCACTTTATAGAAAATTACCCAACATTATTTATGGTAATAACTTTGATTTGTTGGACAGACAAATGGTCATCCAAGCCAACCAACTAGTCAAACATACATATTTACATAGTTAAACACGTAAAAATTCTGACTACAGAACCTTAAAAGAAATTATTCGTTCATTACAAGCATAATAATATTTCACCTAGAAATATGACTGATTTTAGTTCAAAGTTATTTGCAATCAAAATTTCAAGAATGAATTCTTCAATGGACTGTGTAGTTTAACGAACAACAATAAAAAAGTGTGAGCGATTTTAAGGAAAAAAGCACGTTTTTAATTTTATTTCTGATTTCCTTAAGATGTGGCGCATAAAAAAATTACAAATACTGTGAAATGCTCGTACAGAACACAAAAATAAAATAACAACAAACAAAATTTGTAAACGTCATGTTAACCCAGCATGTGACATACTTTGTTGGCATTTGCATATTTAGCTAGCAAGAGCGATCCGAAATAAGAAATCTTAGTTCTGTTGGAAACAAATATAAAGAAATAAAAAATCAAATAACACCACAATACAATAAAAAGTTTTGTTGTCATATCGTTCAATCGATCGATTTGGTATTGATCATTGATCGTTTTACGCTCAAAATTCGCGCGTCGTCCATTTACATTTGGTTAAACTCTCACAGAATAGTGTAAATATGTTTAATAACTAAGTTCAAAGTTTTTTGTGTTATATTTAAGTACGAGTAATGGTTCAAATTTCGGCTCTAAAGGTGGGAAATGAGTACATCTAAATAGGAAGTTAAATTTGTATACTCTCGCCAGTAACTGAATATGCTCAATTTGATCTATTTTGCACTTGAATTTACGATCCCTGAAATACCCAGACGAATTTATAGCAAAACGGGAGAAAAACCTATATTGGTACTGATAATTTAAGCAACCGATATTTATTTTTTCCTAAATTAGGATTACATTATATTTCTTGATCTAGTGTTACGGTCCCTGAAGTACCCAAACGAATTTTTACCAATACGGCAGAAAAACCTATATTGGTACTGATCATTTAAGCAACCGATGTTTTTTTTGGCCTAAATTAGGATTACATTAAATTTCTTGATCTAGTGTTTAACAATTTTTTTTCATGAGCGTGATTATTCGACGTGCATATGTATACATGTAGGTATGTAATACATTAAATAGTGAATGACTCTATTTGGCGCGATTGTGCCCCACCACCATTTGAATGTTACTGGTTGGTGTTTGTGGTGCCACGTATAATGACTTTGATCGAAAGTAAGTGAGCTTCGACAATACAAGAGTCGTAAAAAAAATGAAGACGAAATAAATGTTGGTCATAATATTTTTACTTGTTACAACAAATGTTGCAAATTAATATCGCCTATTTTATTTATGTATAACAAACAACACTATGGTTGCACACAACAAACACATTTATTGCGTTGAACATTAATGATTATTTTCTTTTTTTTCATTTTTGCAGTCACATGATGATCATTCCGATGATGAAATGCGTGACTGTGATTCAGTTGAAGGGGATCACATCTCTAGAGTAGGATCGCGCTTAAATTCATCTATGACAAGTAACGGTGCGGGAACGGCTGGTGATATGAGTGGTCCTGATCATCCCAATGATATGGCCATGAGGTCAGTAGATTTTAATATTATCATTTCATTTTAAATATATACAAATTAAAATTGTTTATTACATACATATAAGTATTATTGATAGTGTGTTTGTATGTCGTATGTATGAATAACATTTAAAGTATTTTTTATTCTTTTATAAAGCCATCATCATCAATTTCCATCAAACCACCCTTTAAATGCCTTGGGTAGTTTTATGGGCATCGGTAGTTTACACGGTATTCCAAATTTACAGCACAATGATGTGTTGGAGAAACTTAAAATGCAAGTTCGTGATATGAAAGTAGGTTTAATGGTAAGTGTACATTTTTTAACTTTAAAATGTATATAAATACAAATCGAATATTCATTATCGAAAAGATAGGTTTATTTTGATTTCGTAAAACGATATAGCGTTGAAAGAACGATAGAATATAGTGTGCTGCAATTTCCTTATGTAACTTTTTTATTTTCACACAAATATGTATAGGATCAAGAATATGCTGCAGCTCATGCAGCTGCATTTGGATCAAATGTATTGTCAACACCAATAAATACAGCTTTCACATTACCACCCACAACAATGGCATCATTTACACATGCCGCACAGACTCTGGCTGCTCAAGCCGGCAACAATATAAATTCACATTTGAATGCAAATTCTTCATCGTCTTCAGTCGGTGGGCCTTCAGTCCCCAATGGCAGTCATAATAGTTTTTCATTTACCTCCCCAACGGCACCCAGCTCAAAAGATGGTAAGTTATTTTTGAGTTTCTAAATATTGCGAAATTTTCAACATTTTAACAAAATTTTATTTTTATTACGATTAAAGTTTCTGCGTTTAGTTAAAGAAATATTTTTTACCCCTGGATTAACATTTTTAGTAATTATACTTTAATTTATTTTTAGTAAATCCTGCCTCGAATTCATCAACATCTAGTGAAACATCAAATTCTTCACAGCAAAATAATGGCTGGAGTTTTGAGGAGCAGTATAAACAAGTTCGACAGGTAAATCTTTTATATGTTTATAAATATATGCATGTGTACGCAAATTGCACATATACTACAAGACTGACATAACTCAAAAAATTCTGTTTCGAAAAAAGGCATTTGACGTTTACAAAAAAAAAAAACTCTCATATGAAAGACTTTAAAAGGGCACTCATTTTGTAGTACTCAGTTCAAAAAATACGAATTTTGAGTTGTGCCAATCTTCTAGTTAATGAGCTTTATGTTTTTGATTTATAACAACAAAATCATATTTATCGAAATTAATGGTTTATTCAATGAAATTCTCTGTTTATATTTTTATTCATATTTGTAGTACATACATAATACTTATATACATAAATATATTAAAAATGTACTTAATATACATATCTTAACCGTTATAGTTCCGTATTTTTGTTTTATCTGTTAAAAGGTGTTAATTTGTCTTCAGAAACAAGTCTAGACTTGTTTCTCACAGTCAGTCAAACAGCCTCACATTTGATCATTTCGATCTATAATGATCATTATTATCAACATGTATTTAAGGGTTTCTCATTAAGTTACATACACTTCATAAACATACTTAAGATTTCAATGAAGCTGCTTAAATCATAAACTTGTAGCAATTAACAAACAAGTCGTATTATCTCATCTCTTCATACTCTACTCCAGAAATAGAAAATGTTTTGTCGTACCACAAGTGTGAGTTGATATATGAAAATTATTCAAAGTGTGAACTTTGTAAAAGGGGTTGTAAACCCTTAAAGATCAGAAGTTCAATTACTTGTTCCTTCGATTTAAATAAAGTACAAAAATATTCACATAAAAATCCCTAAATATTAGTTGTTTTTCTGTCACTTTCATTTGAAGACAACAACCAATAATTCTTGTTAAGAAATATCTATTCAAGCGTGTAAAAATTTTGTTTCCTTAGAAAGATAATCCTAAAAACTTGATCTGTATAAATCAAGTTTAAAACGCACTGCATGCAGCGCCTTTAAGTATCCTTAAGAAGGATCCTGTACTTATTTTAGAATAGGGTGGAATTCGCTATTGACTTTGAAGAGTTTATCAAATTCAAACAAGGAAGTTTATCAGATGAAACTCGAGGAATTCCAATGATTTTTATATGATGCTATCTAAACAAATTTCAATAAAAATTGTTGTAGGTCTTTCGATCAAACCGTCCGATCAGTTCAGTGTTTTTCCTATCATGATTAGATTTGTTCTATGGGAGAAGCATAGATAGTTTATGTTAAAATTTTACACAAAATGATTTATATTCCGTCCGTGCATGCATAGAACAAAGTTGTCATTACCAGGAAAAGGAGAAAACTTTCGTCATTATTCAAAAATCAACACCCAACTTCTCGAAGTGAAGTGTTTTAATTTTCTTGGCAACTATCTATCCTATCACAACCGTACCTATGATGGCGGGACTCAAGGAAATTTTTTATTAAAAAGCGTATTATTTGTAGTACAATATACGGTATATGTATCTTTCTCATATTTACTCTCTATTTCTTAAATAGTTAGTACCTTTAAATACATTTTTAATAAAAAACGTTTTCCCTCTTTTTATATATTTTATCAGAAACTTCTCAATATGTTTTTGAAATAAAAAATTAGTGTGTATTTATTTTTTTATACCTTCATATGTACATATGTATGTATGTACATCTTTAAACATTTTTAATTAATTCGTTTACGTTTTAATATTAATTCATGGCTATAAAAATGATTGTAGTTTTTCCCCTGCTCAAAATGTCTTTCGTAAGTACTTGAAGAAGTGTGAACTGAAACAGCTTACGGGCATTAAAATACCATAAAGTAAGTACGAGTATAAAATTACAAATTGCAAGTTTACCCAACAGACATCAACGATTCATTCACTCGCACGGACATCAAACATACCCAAATGATACATTGTCTATGTATTGATGAGGCTCCAAAATGAGCATATCATCTACTAATATAAACACACATTGTACTTACATACATACATTTGTAGCTTAGTACAGCTGTGTTGAGAAAAATAGTAGCGTTGGAAAATAATATTTTGCAGCAAAAACTTTATTTTTTAATGGTTGTTGTAGTTGCATGTTAGATGTTGGAGAGACTTTTATTTCGCATTCTATTTAAAAGGTTAATTTCTATTCAAATTCACCATTTTAATGAAATATTCAAATTCATGTTTAGAAATCTGACCTTTGTCCCCGAACGTAAATTGGTTAATGTTTCCTGATTCCAGTTTCTAAAGCCGGATTTAAACCCGGTTTTACAGTTACTTTCTGTGTTTATTAGTCTTACTCAATGCTCCATTAACATTTGTGCTTTTTGGAATAGTTTAACACAAATATAAAAATCAATATTTTTCAATAAACATCTAATATCGACTTAGGTTAGAACCGCTAACTGATTCCTTATTAGATATTCGCTCTAGACATTTGGCTACTATGTAATTCTATTCAACAAATGAAATAATGTTATTGATAACGACAACTCATTTCCAAGTAATGTATGAAATAACTGCTTTAACTAGATAACTAATTACCAAAATTTGAAAATATATTACTGGGCCTATACAAAAAAACAAGTTTAAAGTGTGTAAAATAAATTGACGATGAAAATAATCATCGTATTAGAAAAAGTCCATTCGTGACGAATGACTCAAAACATATTATTGGAACAAAACCAGGTGATTAGACATTAGTGAACATTATTCGCTTCTCCGGATAAATTTTAAGCACAACTGTGTGTATCACGAACACCTAAAGTTACATCCAAGTAGAATGTGCATGGATGTGTGTATCTTACACTCACTCACTCATATTTAACAAATGAAAACGGTTTTATTCATGGACTGGATGAGAATGTGTACTATTATTGTTTTTGTTAATTTAGTTAAATATACTGCAGATTGTTAGAAATGTACTTACACATTTATTTATATTTCTGCATTAAATGTTTTTTTTTTTCGAAATTTTGATTCGGTTTGATTGTGTGTATTTGTATATTTTGCTTTGTTTTTATTTTATTTGCCATAAACTAGAATTCGTTCTACACTTTAATAAAAATTGACCCTGATGAATTTTGTGCGTTAATTTGTTTTAAGGAAAATTTTTACTTAATGTTTGTTGTTTTTATACACGTACATACATACATATTTACATTTAGGAGACAGACAAATATGATGGGTATTAAACTAAACCATTGAATTTATATGTATGTACATACAAATGTATGTATTTTCTTTTAAAAGTTTGCCGCTAAATTGATTTATACGATTTGTTTGGTCGTTGGCATAATCCGGAGCAAAGTCTTAAAACCCACCTTAACACCTTTTGCGGTGAAATATTGTGGTTCATCTTGTAATATCTGCTAGGAAGCGGGAAAATTTACTTTGATTTGTATTCGCCCGTGAGTATGTGTGTGTGTCTGTCAAGTATACTACCTTAGATCGAGTTCTTGTATATATGTAGATCAACATCTTTTTGGCAAATGTGGGTGTTTCTTTTGTGGCAGTATAAATATGAATTTTATTACAAGCAGGTAATAACGCGTATAGAAACCTACCGATAGATGCGCGTACAATTTAAGTCGTTAATATTGCTATTAATCCTTTTAGTAGGAAAAACCAAATGGATTTATGTTCATACTAATTTATTTCTATGAATTTTTCACTCTGAAATTTGTTTACTTGCAAACAATTTGTATGAAATTCTATTATAAAATATTTTCTACCAAGAATAGTGATTAACGATGCCAACTAATTTAATCTATGGTTGCCACCTGGATTATATCGTGTACATCTGATAATATATACACATAAATAATAAAAAAAACTGAAATAAATATATTAAAGCTGCGTAAAGAAAGCAACGACATTTTACAGCTTAAAATTTGTAGACCATTTGAACGAAAACGCCGATTAGTTAAAATCGATTAATTATTTATTTCATTTAATCCTGAAACGGGATGTTAAAGGTCCATATACCATCCATAGCTCAAATACATCTCTTAATATTTTTGGTTACACATACATAAAATTAAATTCTTCCATTAGACCCAAGTCCAAAAAAATATTTTATATCGCCAAAATCAATTCTAAAATTATTAATAATAAATTTATCACAAAGTGTGTAGAGTAATCGTATTACAGAATTTTTAAGATGTTTAGTCGACGATTGCCCAAAGCTTTCATAAAAGGCCTTATTATAAAACCAGGTTTCAAAGATTACTCTTTCATACGTTTTCTTATTTAATTGTTTCATTTCTGTTCAGTCCATTTTTCTTAAACAAGTGTGTGAATGAATAAGTGAGTGAACCATATAAAATCATCTATATGTATATGTATATTAAGGAGGTCCTGTTTGTATGGAGAAAAAAGTTTTTTTATTTTCATAAAACCTTAAAAAACTCTAACCCAGCTCACCAAATATTGGTATCATGTGAAAGGTCTTTGAGACGCACTTTCAATAGCTCCAAAATATTGAAAATTTTAAAATTTATCGCAAAAAAATTTACATTTTTCAATTTTCTCATAAACTGAAATATTTCATCAATAATCCAATGAAATCATAAAGTATTGATGTATAATACTTAGATTGAAATTTAAAAAAAATAAAAATTTTTTACTTTTGTAATCGCACATAAATGTTTGATATGACATGGAAAACACCTTTTCGAAGATCTTTCATATGAAATCAAAAAAATATCTATATTTTTAAAGAAATATAAAAAAACTTAAAAAACTCAAAAAATTTAATTATTTTTGCTTCTTTAAACATCACTTCCTCAGAAGGAAAAAAATTCACTTAGTGCTACTTTTGAAGTGGTGATAAATGTTATTCCTTTGGATGTACTTCGTGAATGAATGGAGTGAATGAATCAAATTTTAATTTTTGGCGGGAACATAAGCAGCTTCCATTTTTGGGCCACCCTAATGTACATATGTATTTTAAAGGCGTTACCTAATAATTAATTACATATTTTTAATTTTATTTGTGTTTCATTTT